TTCAACAATTTGGTTCTTAGGATCAAGCTACCCAATTCTGACAATTTTTGTGACAATGGAGACGACTTGATGGAAATGAGGAAGATACTTTTAATTTACATGACAACCCTGATCTGACCTGAAACTGTCAGAAAACACATGAGAATAGTGATAACAATTTATCAGTTTGCCTTTGCCTAATCTTTTGCCAGCTTCTTTATAAACAGTGAGTTAGGATAAGAGTTTCTATTACTAGACATTCCATTATTTTATTTCCTGTTGTAATCAAATACTATTAAATTATAAGAGCCTCACCTCTTGGTCACAGCTATTTCTCTTTTGCTCAAATTCAGGTTGAAGTAATGGGCCTACTGCCAAATTTATTTTTAATTGGTAACATTCAACTAACAGAAGACGGGTCATATTCCTCCACAAAAAGATACTACCAATAAACCTCCTTTACTAGTACCATGAACATACTTGAGCCCACAGATCTGGAGGGATGGTAATACTTCTTGTGCTATTCATGGGTGGAGAAGAGACTGACAAGTAAGGATTTGATGTCTTATAAAGGAATATGAACAACTCGCTTCAACTGGCAATGATTTACATCACTTAGAGCTGAAAGTGAAAACTGTAAGTACTATAATAGCTAATCTATGATTTAATTAAATATATATTATTGTATCACAAGACTTACAGTGGTTTAAGAATAACTGTGATAAAAAGATTAGATCCCATGTTCTCCACTGCAAAAACTGGATATATTTTCTTTTACTTTACAGCTTTTACCTCCTCCCCTCTAACGCATTTTATGACACCATATTGTACCTCCATCATTCATGATCTGGGTTGGAACTTTCAGAATTACTAAATTACTAATTACTAACTACTAATTACTAAATTACTAATTACTACATAATTCCAAAATAACTTTTGGAATTATACAGCCAAAGAATTGCTTGTCCCAGCAATTACATGAATTCATGATTAGAAGAACAAAAAGGTTTTGTGACCCACTTTTTGATCTCTCACATAAGCCAGGCACTATGATTTTCCTAAGTGCATTTCTGTATACCTTATTTATTTGTGATACTTCTCAGAAACACAACCGTAAACATTGATTTAAAAAATTCCAGTTGTGAGAAACTTCACTGCAATTATTCTAGTGGTTTCCTTTCACTTAAAAAAAATAATAAACTCTTCTATTTCCATTTTGGATTTAACTCAGATTTCTTTATATTAAACCCCTATATTCCCACTGAAATTCTGATTTATATTTCTGGGGTTTGTAATCTTTCAACCATGGCATCACAGTGGGAGATCGTCTTATTTGATTACCTGACATGACCTTCCAATTCCTTTTCTTTGGGAAAAACTACTTTCCAGAATTATGCGTTTAGGAAGCAAGGGGGAACTCCAGACATAATGATGCCCCTAGATGTTCTGTAGTCATAAGTTACATTTTTATCAATATCTGCCTTAATAATTTCATACAAGATTCTAGGGTTTTAATGAAATGTTCTTCTGTAGTACCAAGAAAAATGTCTTATAAGACTGTATTATACCAAGTCTGATATCTCTATTTGGAAAGGATATAATCTCATACAAAAAAATCTAATTAGTTTAGCTGTATGTATTTGCTGTAAGTCTATATTGAATAACATAATTGAAATTACTTTTAGTTCTTTAGCAGTTTGTGTCATGGGCCAGACCTTGCATTACTTTATGTGAAACATCTTGTACAGATAAGCGGTAATTCAGAATAGGAGCACAAAGCCAGGTTTCCCAGATCCCATTGTCAGGCCATTCCATGGTCATTCTAAGGTCAGGTCATTCTAAGGATGAATGTCCTTCAGTGTTTCCTTTATTGTGGATATGTTTTTAAGAGGTTATTGTTGTTGTTTATTTTAAACGGGAATTCTCATGTTCTGGGAACTGAAGTTGAAAGTTCCTTCTGTTTGGGAAAAAACTTGTTTGGGCGTTATTTATTTTGCTTTCCCCTGCGACAGGCTGTCCGTTTCCTATTTCACATAGGTAATGAGGACATCATTAATAAAACCACTCTGTGGGATATTTTAAAGCAATTTCTTGTATGATTTTAGTCTTAAGTCTCTTTTTTCCAACTTTTTATAACATAGTAGTTACAATGCAACTTTTTATAACATAGTGGTTACAATGCGACTTTTTAAGTTAATTACATACTGCTTAGAACTTTATAACACTTTAGCTATTCTGTGTTTTATGAAGAAAACTTGGAAGTGTTTCAGTGTTGTGTTTCTCATTCATTTTAGATGAAGGTTTATAGTCTTCTGTTAGGAATCCATTTCTAGGAACTTTAAAACTATCTCACTAGTTCCACATAACCAACATTTCCCCTGACTCCTCTGGGGCCTTGTCCCTTGCACTTCTGCAGGAGAAAGGAAGTTCATAATTATTAGGCAATACTCTGCCTGTGTTGGATTCTGACTTCCACATGGAAACTCCAGCATCTAGAAACATCCTGGGTCTTTGGATGTATGGAAAACCTGCAGATTTGCATCAAATCTAGGGATAAACCAAGAACTGGTTTGTATCTATCATGGCAGAAAAGTCTTATCACAAGCTTTTCTTCTAACTGAAAGTGAGAGATGGGATCGCAGCATTTTGTCATATATATACTATTCTAATCTAATGCATTTTTCAGAAGATGTTTGTCTACCTTGTCTGCTAGTCAGATGCATGTACTACCATTGTACAAGTACCTTCGGTCCAGCATCTCCCACGCCTTTTGGGCCTGCTGGTCCTGGGGGGCCTGCTGGTCCTGGAGGTCCCTGGTACAGCAGAGGAATAAAACATGTCAGTAGTTGTCCTAAAGGAAGAGTACTTGTGTTCTTCAACAAAGAAGGGAATTTCAGCAATAGTTACTAATCTCTTTGGGTTTGCTCTATGTTGTCAAATTCTTCACATTTCTGATGTGTACTGAGCAACAGTCATCCTCAGTCCTGGGTGGAAACCTGAAAAGACTACCAGAGTGGTGGAAAAAAAGTCCGGATCTTGACTTAAGAACATTGGAGTTGTTCTCAGCTCAGAGAAACCTGTGAGAAAGCAGACATTGCTCCATGATTCATATACTGCAGATACTACACATCTGGGATACCAGAGCTAATCCATCTAAATCTGGAGGTTGGATAACCCTAACAGACTTTGGCGTATTTGTGTTTGATAGTCCGTTCTCCTGAACTCCCTGCTCAATCCGCCACAGCCCCTTCAGCTGCCCTTCATACTGTTGGAGGCATCCCCAGCCTACCTTTCAGCATTCCTAGGGCAGACGTCTTTGCCCCATCACACTACAGAGACTTACTACATAAATCTTGTCCATGTCCACCAGTGGTTTATGAAGTTGGTCTTTCCAGATCATGGGGCATGGAAAGGTGGCCCGAGAAGGGGAAAGATGCATGCTACAGCACCACAGAACCTCCACACATTTCAAGGACATGTACTCATGTGGCAGGGAGAAACACAACCAACTTTTACTGAAGCCTGAGATTGAGTTACAGAGAAGCATGACTCTTATGGCAGTTGCAGATGGGAATCCTAGAATAGACATGATTTCAGGAATACTACTGCAGAGCAAAGCTCTTTTTTTTTATTGTCTAGTCACTAATAGAAATGCAGGAAGCGCATACACGTAAGTTTGTCATCCTGTGACTGGGCAGACCACAACCAGCATTTGTATAGTTTTATTAATCAATGGCTACCAAACCAGGCTTCTCTTGAATTCTTTGATTAATTAGAAATGAAAAGTTTTCAGCTTCTCACTGACCTCTTTGATTCTGTATCTACCAATACTTCTTTTTCATATAGTTTAAACAGATATCTTAACTTGTAAAGCTTAAAACTTCAGTTCCTATGAGGCATTTTAAGGCCTACAAAAAGTTTGTCAGTCATCTATTTGCATCACTGCCTTCTTCATGATTGCCTTTGCATTTGCTTTTCATTTTTATTTCGGATGACAGTAGGGTTTTTTCATTTGTTTGCCTATCCTGTTTAATGGGTCTGGGTCTGTTCCTGGCACTCCTTGAGCCTCCAAGGAGTCTTGAGCTGGTCGTGTCCCTACGTGCTGTGAAATGTGTCGGGTACATGGCATTACACCAGGAATTCTGAGTGAATGCCCTCTGAACTAATTCTGATCCCAAAGGATGTTCCCAGGATCAGTTTGAATGCTAGGAAATTGGAGCTGAGCTGTGACTTATTTGGAAGCACTCAGGTCCCACCTCAGTGTATTTGGGAGTGCCTTTGTGGTTGTAGTTTGAAATAAAGCTGGATTACAGACATAAAGAAAATAGTGCTAATGGAAGTTTGACATGTGGTGGTTGAAGGATGGCAACAGTATTTTCACTTTCTAGTGAAAGGTTGGTCAAACATGTCTGTGTGGCTTTGGATGACTGAAATATAGGATGATATGCCCTTGTAATGGAATGTGCCAGCTGGAATACTCAGGCATTAACCCCCTCTGGAGCTAACCATCAGAAAAGCAAGGAGGGAGAAAATCTTCAAAAAAGAGGATTTACCCCCCCCGGTATGAAAAGCAGCTGAAAAACCAAGGAATTGAAGGCTGCAAGATTTGGACAAGCAGATGTTATTAGAGATCTTGAACAAAGAACAGTAAAGAAAAGGGAGGGAAGGAGGGAAGGAAAAGAACTCAAAGCAGTGATTACATTAAACATGTATGAGCAGCCATGAAGATTTTTATGGAATTACACGGTATCCCTTTCATGATGTTGAAATGAGAACAGTTTATATCCAGTTCTGACTGCCTGTAGAACTGGCACTGTATCTAGGACAGGAAAGGACTTCACAATATATATGAACTATTTAAATTAGCTAAAAGATGAAAGAGAAGATTAATTGCACTTAGTTAAGTAACTAAATACTGAGTTATCACACAGTAATTCATTTTTTTTGTAGAACACAAAGTACAGAATTAAAATTGTACTTACAGCTTCACCTTTGTGGCCATCGCCTTTTGCTCCACGGGGTCCAGGTAGACCAGGTAGTCCCCGGTTACCCTAAATACAAAATAGTGAGTCAGGCATCGTGCCAGTATCTGGATCATCACGATGTAACAAATATTAAAAAATATGTAAGGAAACTATTTAATATCCTTTTGGAAATATAGAATAGCAGTTACCAGCTCTTGCAATTTGTTCGCAAAGCTCAGAAATTTTTGTGCTTTTTTATTGTTGCTTCAGTTGATCAAATTAAGATTTCAGAAGAATAGGAGTTCTCATTAGGAAATTAGTAATTTCCAGATTTGTAGTTGCAGAGAGAAATCTTCAGAACATTGACTTTATCTTCAGCCAATACAAAGTTAAATTTATTTTTAAAAAGTTAAACTTTTATGACTTTGGGGGTAAGGCCTGACATTTGAACAATGAATTTAACAATACTGAACCATAATATGCCAGCCTTAAGTTATCATATGTTGCACATTTTGTGCTTCCGGGTAATCACATTGGTTCTCTCATACAGTAAAGCAAAACTGCATTCCACAAGGGAAAGAAGAAAGAAATACAACCGGTTATAAGAAATATGTAATTTCTCTTAGTTTAGCCTAAAATGCTCTGTATCAGGAGACAATCACTCCTTTTGTTGACTCTTCCACTGATTCCCACTAAACATTTGTGCATTTGCAAAACTTCAATGCTTCCTTTCATGACCAGAAGACAAGCAAATAGCAATCTTTTCCTCTTCCCTCATTCCAGTGATCGTTTTCCTGACATTTAATGAGAAAATTAACTGAGCTTGCAATAGACTGTTCTTCACAGAACCAAGAAAGAAAACATATTACTTTGAGGTATCCCTCAAGATACGCTGGCAGTCTGTACAGTGGATGTTCACATGACAGCACCGCCAGTTGGAAATCCTTACTGATACTTGTAGGTCACACATCCATCCCACTCCTAAGCACGGTATGTATATGGCCATACAGGGAGAAGCGTACACCCTTCACTCAGTCCCACAGAACAAAGAAATGGAAATGGACTCTCCTATAGAGTGTTGGAGGGTCAGTTTTTAATATACATACAGATAACATATCCTGAAGAACAATTAGCAAATAATAGCAAATATTTCCCTGTCTATTCCAGTAAAAATAAACAGCTACAAAAAAGAAACTACAAATGACTGAAAACTGCTGTTTCATCAGTGCATTGTGCCTGGAAATTTCTGCAATAACATAATGCTTCAAGAAACCACGAATGGCATCCTGATAGCAGCTCAGATCTCAGCAGCTGGTCTATCTGAATACAGTGTCCATGACTGGAGAACAAACTGACTCATATTCTAGTTAGATATCCAACAAAAAAAGACTTTGGGTCCAAATCTCCTGTCCCATGAATGTCTCTACCATAGACACAAGCAATCAGATCTTCTTAACCAATTTAGCCCTGTCAAGAAAAAATGAAAGAGCTGCTTTGGCTCTCCTAAAGATATACATCACAGGTTTAGATTAGGAGGTAAGTGAACGACGAAAGACAAGGTAAACTCAATGTTCTGGTTAAGATGAAACCCTGAAACCACTTTAAGATGGAATTTGGGACAGGGATGCAAGCATGCCTTATGGTTAAAGAAAATTGTACATGGTAGGTCACTCTTGTATGAATCTCTGCTATTCTCCAGTCCAAAGGGATAGTTTCACTGGAAGACTTTAAAAATGACCTGACCACCAGATTCAAACTGCATCAGCCCTGGAAGATGTTTCTTCATGTTTCCTAATTTTCAAATGATGGAATTCTGATCCAGTTCTGTGAAGATTTAAACAAGTGTGCTTCTAGTTCATAAATAGCTTTATAATGGAAAGCAAATTTTACCTTTTCCCCATTCTTAATATCCATAGTTCTTAAATTGTGGATAAAATGAGAAATGTTTGAGAAATGCTTAATAACTTTTTTTTTAACAAGAAAGGAAACCATGGATCATGAGTTCATCTCTGTTTTTACTTCTAACTCCACTACAGTAAAAAATGGCCAAACAGATGTTTTCATTTAATCTTAGCAGACCATTGTAAATACCAAATACATGTTAACACATTCTCTTCTGTAAGAATCGTGATTTTGTCAAGTGACTGGTTTTGCCCTTAGTAACACAGCTATAAATCTACTTAAGTCAAATCTATGGCCACATCTGCTATAAGAAACAGTTCTCTAGTCCAGATTATTTAGTTTTGATTTTTTTAATAGCTGCATCGAAAATACACAAGAGATGGCCCAGGAGCAATTCTGTGATTACTGCTTCCCACAGTTTTGTGGGGTCTGCAAAAGACAATCACAGTGACTCACAGTGACTTAGGTCAGTGCACTGGCAACAAGGCGAGTGCCACTGATGTCACAGATGGCATGCTGAATTAATTCATCTACTTTGCCAACCTTTCCAGGGCATGTTTTAAAGTCATTTTCTGAAGCAGTAATATAGAGATAGTTGTTTCTACACTCTTCCAAAGAAAAAAAAAACAAAAAAAAAGATAAACAGAATATAAACATAAATCTAGTGTCCATGTTCACCGTTAAGAAAAAAAACAACTGCCATAATCAAAACCTAAATTATTAAGTATTCAACTGGACAATTAAGTCATGTTCATCACTTCTTTTCATAAGAAAAACAGAGTGAAGTAGCATTCTAGATTATAGACAAAGTAAATAAATTTAGAGTTTTTGAAAATTCAAAAATACAAGCTACTGAATGCCTGTGGATCAATGTGCTATTCAGCATCCTCTGGTAGGTGTACTGGTAGAAGTCTGTCAAGCCAGGAATAAAGCATTATTGGTATTCCTAAGATGTTATCACACAGAAGTTATTGCATTAAGTTGCTTTATTTTGAACTACATTGTGTTAGGTACATATAAACTCATTGGTCTCTGAACTTGGGTCTATCAACTATATTCCCAAGAAGTGAAAGGGTGGAATTGAGTGGAACGTTTTATGTGCAGACACGGTAAATGTGAAAAGAAAAAAAAGAGGTTTACTAAGAAGGTTCCTGATTTCAGTCGGGAAAGGAGATCACAAAATGGTACCTTTCCCAAACACTGAAGGAAGCCTTCCTGAACTATGCCCTTATCACAAGTGGCAGAGGCTTACAGAAAGTTTCAATCCAGATCATGACTGACAGGACTACAATATGGTATCATAAAATGCCTTAGAGGGGAGGAGGTGAAAGCTGCAAAGTAAAAGGAAATATATCCAGTTTTTGCAGTAGAGGACATGAGATCTGTTCTACAGACTGCGCTTTTCAGTTTGTTCTTAAATAACGTAGAAAGGTGAGTGGTGCTGTTTTCTAATGACGCCATATTATTCTGATTAGTTAAATGAAAGGCAATTCCAAGGAGCTGAGGAAAAACCCTACTTAAGGGTTTGAGTAATTTGGTGATAAAATATCAGACAAAATTCCATGCTGACAACTGTAATGCATTATGCAAGGAGAAAAAGCAGTCATAACTTTATGTATCTAACAGTCATCCTGAACTACTATTACCACTTCAGAAACAGGAGAGAGAGAACCATTCTTTGAAAAGGTCACTTCACTGTTCAACAGTGATAAAACCCCATAAATTTAATCCTCTGCAAATTAATCTATATCCTTTTCCTCTAACTTATTTCCCGCTGGCAAGGGGGAAACTCACCTGTACTACAGGGGAGAATTTTTCAGTCTCCCACTTTTGCAAAGACTGCAATCTCTGTGTTACCACTGAACCCTCAGTTTAACCTCTAGTCTGTCAATTGTGTGTTGATCTTGCCAGTTAACCGCTAAAGGCTCAAACAGTGAGCACAGCAATCCTGCTACAGACTACTGTACTCCATTCTTGGTGTTGAAGTTAAAAATGTAAAGGATATAACCAAGTAAATCCTATTCTGTAACCTATATGCAAATAAGTACTTCCAAAAGATCTATTTTTTAAATTATTTATTTTGGGTCTTACTTATGTTTTTGAATGTGCAAGGTTGGTAATACTGAAACACCACTGTTAAAATAACTAATACCTCTCAGTTTATACTCACTAAAGAGCATATTGCCCATATGGAGGTATAAAAGACCACATGAGATAATGAAAGGTGGAGATGAATTTGAAGAGCTACCTTCCTAATGAAGACTTCCTGAGGGAAGTTGACAGGGTGAGATACACTGGACTAGTTATTTAATCTATTTTGTGCTTCTTCTTTGAAAAGATAGTAAGTTTATTTTTAAAAATAGACTTAACCTGGAAAAATGGAAAAGTTGAAGAATTGGTCAGTTACTTTCCTGAAAAAGTTGTTCAAGTGGTTTCTACATGTTCACAAGAGTTTTGCATATGTCTCATGTTTCTTTATTTTCCATCTTTTGTCTAAAAACTCCTACCGTTGGTCCCATTATTGAATTTCCAGGAAGTCCATCATCTCCTGGTGGCCCCTTGGGTCCTGGATCCCCCTATCCAAAAAGAAACAAATCCAAAACCATATTCATTATTTTCAGTTTTAATTTCCGAAGTTTTACAGAAAAGAACAAGTATTCAATTCTTTCAGACAGTGACAATTATTGAGCTAGGTAATATGAAATCAGTATTTCCTGAGGAAGCTTTTACTACCTTGATTCTGACCTCTTATACTTTTGCTTCTCCGCAACTGTGTAAAAGAGTTTGTTCTGCCTTGACGAATAACTTGACAGCTTTAGTTTTCAACTGAAGCTTGAATATCATAATTCAGTTTCCGCGGCCAGATTCACCTGTGGCTTCTGCCTGCTTTTGCCCACACAAGCAAGGCTGCATAACCTTGTTTCTGCCAGAGCACATAAAGAACAGCAAAGAAATTCAAAGACAAGTGCTGACACAGAGTATGTTTAGAAAGGCTACAGATGCAATGGCACAGCGCTTCAAAACTGCAAGCTCCACAGTCTGAAGACCCAGGAAGAAACTTCAGTTTTTCCTCAAGTATTACCCAGTACAACTGTTTGGTAATCTTAGCCCTGTCAGTGACTTTTCCGGAAAGCAATCAGGTTTAGAATTCAAGTTCCTCATGTTATCCCTTCACAGTGCAAAATTTGGCTCTTTCTAGTGTTTAATCTATGGCAACAGAAGTTTTACTTTACATTAAGGATCTTAAAAAGAAAATTTCAATTTTCAATGAAACTTTTGCAATTTTTAACACTAGTGAGAAGGACAGGCACTATTTCAGGAAACATTCACTAGGGAATGCAGACCAAATGTTCTATCAAAACCACTGAGCAGCTGTAACCATGAGAAAGGAATATGAGAAAAAACAGCTATCTAATGTTACTATCTCCATATTAGTAACAGCATAATGGTTGTCAAGGGAAATAAAACTCTAGTCCCCAAACACGGGTGTAGCTTAAAATAAATAAATTTCCAGTGGACACAACCATGGCTGTCCAGGAGTTAAGACCTCTAGCAATTACCCACTACTACATCAAATACTTGCAGATGTACTAAGAAGACCTCAGACCATGATAACTCCCAGCTTTGAAAAATGTGCAGATTCCCTGCATTAGAAATTTATAATGTCTGGCTTCACTACTGCAGATACCAGGATGTTCCAAGAACACAATTACTAGTAATCATTGTACTTCCACAGTGGAGAGAGAAAACGGACCTGTGTAGCCTGTTACATTATTGAGCAGTTGTCAGAAACGTAGCAGATATTTGTTTAAACAAAGAAATTATTATGGAGCTAAAGAGACAGTTTTGTATATTTTCTAAAAATCAACTTGCATTTTATAATTACCCAAAATACTTGTTTTCTCGCATCTGCCACTGCACATAAAAGCCCTGATCTAAAATTTAGTAAAAAGTTTGGAAAAACTCCTACAGACTCCAGTGGATTTTGGATCGTGGCCAGTCTGCTACGAAACTGCTATGAACTGTACTGAACAGAATAAAATCAGAGTGAAAAAGGCAATAAAGTCTACAAAGTTCTTATTTTTCAGCATGAATTTTATCAATAAACAATCTTGACTCACTTACTGGTCTATTCAAAAATGTCACAGTAACCAGGAAAATGTGAAGAAGGGAGACCGGTGTAGTGAAACCTGTCTTCATACAAGTTGTGCCTTATAGCATGCCACTTATATTTTCTTGACATAAAGTTTGGCACATTATTATGGTTTTAAACCAATACAAGATATATAAGCACCCCACAATCCTCTCCTTTCTTCTCTGTAATTGTGTTTTTAATCCAGGTGTACCCTGAGCTTCTTGCGTTCCCTTCTTCCTTCCTCCTCCATGCACAAACAAGTCCAAACCACATCCTCGCACTCTGTGATGTCCTGTTGCCAGGCTGATGAGTACATTGTATGTACTATACCTACATGTGCTTGTGTGTCGGGGCACACATATTTTTAAGGAAGAAGAAAAATGGGGATGAAGTCACTTCAGAGGGATAGGATGTACATTAGTGATTTCTCTACCCTAAAAACTATCACCAAAGCTGAAAAGCATCAATTAAAGTTGAAGTTAACTGACATATTATAAAAACAGCAACTGTGTTTTTAAAACCTTCAAAGTTAGCTTTACTGTTGCTGAATCCGCTTATTTTACTCAGCAGGACAAGTCCCATCCATTTCAGGTACGTTTTCCCCATAAAGAAAATGAGTTGGATGTAGCTCTAGCTATCTCGTATATGACATTTCATTTAAAGTAGTATCTAGAGGCCAGCTGTTCACTTGGAAGTGACATACAAACATTCATCTCCAAAAAACCATCTAGTTCAGCATATAACTCCCTAGAACTATACATAGACACATTCCTGCAGGGATTTACTGCCACATTGAGGAAATCTTTAGTCTAAGAAACAAAATGCATAGTAAATTTGAAAAAAAAGAAGACTTCAAAGTGATTAATTTCACAGGAGGGGCCAAAACACAACAAATGTTTTGTTTTTTTTTAACAAATGGCTTCAGGAGGCAGTAACACTACTAAGTTCAGCATCCTGTGAAAGGGGCCCCAAACACTCTCTGTTACTTTTTAGTACTTTTCAGTCCTTATTTCTAAAATTCAGTCATCTTTGTTACTACAAGGAATTTTAACATCTTTAACTTATATTCTTTTAATTTTGACAAAAACGTGCACTAGAAATTTTCCTATCTCTGGTCTCCAGCAAACACATTGCAGATAATCACCTTTGGTCCAGCAGGTCCCTGAATAGATGATCCAGCGACACCAGGTGGTCCTCTCTCTCCAGGTTCACCCTGTTACAAAATGGTATCATCTAGATTTAAACAGACAGTTTCATTTTCTGCACAAGTAGCAAAAAGTTTTTCCAACACTTTATATTATAAAAATATCTACAATATAGAGCTATCTACAAAATAGACAGTATTTGGGAAAAACCATAAATCAACTTACTGTTCTTGTGAAAGCCGGTCTGAGTTTCATGTTTTAAATAACTATCGGTTGAACTGTGTATTTGATTTTTAAACTTTATTAATTTTTTTGTGTCTGGCTTATAAAGCCAATGGAATAACCAGAACACTTGTACTATTTAAATTTCCTTATCATTCAGAGGGGTACTTACTCACAAAATATTATAATAGAAAGTTAATGTTTCAAAGTAAAAATTTGCAAAATGCTCATGTTAGAATCACTTGGACAAGTTTAATTTAGCTTCTCAGTGCTCATGCATAACTATAAGGTCTGTAATTACACGTTTACCTATTCTTTTTCTCCTTGGGACTTTTGTGTCATTCAGGACAGAGGATGGAAATATTTCTGCTTTTCCTTTGTTCTGTTAAGTCTCCAAGCATCAGATGCTTGAGAAATTTGTACATTACATAAATTCCATAGACTCTTTTATAAAATACAAAGTGAAGGGTTACCCTGGAGGAACAAGCTTACTTTTGGTCCAGCTGGGCCTTGTACTCCTTTATAACCAATCAGTCCTTGGGATCCTTTCTCTCCGGGGTCACCCTGACGAAAACAAACCTTTTTTTTCAATCACAGCAAACATTCATTCACAACTGGGAGACACACAAAAAACCAAAAACACGACGATAATGATGCCCATAATTAGAAAGGTATTTAGATTCTCCACTCCAACCGAAATCCCACTCAGTTCTAGAATCTGCTCTAAATGTCCTAAATTTAACCAGGTGTGAGATAAAAGCTGTCTGTCTACTACATCATCTTTCCAGGCTTTTAATTTCATATTTAGATATCTAACTAGTCACCTAATTTCTCTTCAAGGAATTTTAACACCTATCAGCATACTTGCCTCCTCCTAACTTTATGAAATATATTTGCCTCCTCCTAACTTTATGAAAACTCTACTGAATTTTTAGGAAATCTCTACTGCCCAATGAACTTTAGGGTCTATGTTTATAGTCTGATTTTGCTGTACTTCGTCAGGCTAAGGAATACATTGCTCTCTCTTAAATCCTTTTAAATCATCAGTAAAAATATAGTTGCTACTTAAGATATAATGAATGAAAAAATAGGCCAGAATCTGAACTCTTATAAAATAGGTCCTTCTAAAGTTTCTAGTATTTCTCCAGTGTGCATGTCAAGCCATACCTTTTGGCCTACATCTCCTCTGCCAGGGGGTCCTTCCGGGCCTCTTGGACCTTGATCGCCCTTTTCCCCCTAGCAGAGATTAGATGGTTAATTAATTTTCATGTAGCTAATTTTATTGAATCAACAGACTTATGTGAAACAACGCTTGCATAAACACTTTTCCCAAAAATGTCAGTAAATATCTGATTAATTTTTTCTCCTGCAAAAAATAAAGTATTCTGTCTTCTTAAACCCCTTCCACCCTCCTGCATTCATATTCCTTATTTTCACAGACATTTGTAATAGTGCCATTTGCAATTGCATCAATCTTTTGTAGGAAGAATTGCATGCATATACTCATATAAGGAAGAGAAATGCTTGCAAAGTTATCAGAAAAGGTCTTGGTTGACCAATTCTAAGAAAAACAACTTTTAAGAAGCAGTAATTTTAGGCAACTCTATAGCCAAAGGCCAATCCAGGCTGCAAATATTTGCCAGAAAGATTACTTCAAATAATTCACAAATAATCCACATAAAACATTCTATTAAGGAACATTATCTACAAAATATTCATGCATAATAGAAGTCAGATTAGTATGTCAGAATGCCTGTATGTAATTCAGAAAGTGAAAAGTAGATTAAAATGAAGTTTAAAAATCCATTTCTGATTTGAGCTATTGATGGAAGTGGCATTACAGAGCCTGGTGTTGATAGGCATCAGTCTGGATCCCACTTCTGTGAGACAGCTTCACACCTGCAAATAACTGCCGTATCATCACCATGCTACTCACTGCAGGCATCAAGCTGTTCTTTGCACTGTCCTGAATACCCAAGGTAGCTGCTCAGTACTAATATTTTCACTGATAATGAATTACGACAGTGAAGGTGACAGCACCAAGTTGATCATCAGAACAAAGGCAATATGCAAGAGAAAAAAACCCCAGCATTCCCAAATACAAAAGCCACCTGTAACTTTAACCCAACATTTACTTTTAATTTTGATGTTTCACTTTTGATACATGGGGATCTTCATTTTTGAGCACTTATATAGTGGGTGATTTCAAATTTTTAAAAAATAATTAAGTAGCAACAGAAATGCTACATATTTTTCCACAGTGAAAGGCTTACTGCCTCTGAAATATGCTTGTCAAACTGGTATTTGCACTACAAGGGTATTTCCCTTGTAGAGGAAAAAAATGTGAAGCTCCATTCTTAATAGATGTTTATTACAGCTATTCAGATATTTTCTGATTAAAGACCTGCAGTCAAACAATGCTGATTTGCATACTCTGAATCATGTTCATTTCATCAATTCTACAGGTTGGCCAGCTGCTGCCCTCATTTAAGAGCTGCACAGCAGCAGAGTTTGGAGGCACCTGGATTCTCAGCAGCAATTCAACAATCAGCCAAAGCACTGAGTTTTGCTCACTCGGCAGCTCATTCTATTTGGAAAGAGTAAAATTAAAAGCCTGCATTTAACTTACTCTAAATTGACTATTTGGGGCACTCTGCTTTGCACCCCTCTAAATTCCTTTCCACAATTTTGAATTTATGCTTCTTTTTCCCAATGTGGCAGAGTTTCTCTTAAAATCTCAGAATTTCCCTTGGAAACAAGCAGCCCTGGTTTCAGCTGTTTGTGACGGTTTCTGTACCAGGCTGACAGGTTTCAGCCACAGCTCACCACCCTGCTAGATGCCCTAAGTCACATCAATTTGAGCGTGACTTCTTGGTGTCAGGAAAAATCTGAACTGGCTGTAAGGAACAGGCTAAAGACACAAGCTATCTGTTCTCCAAGAAGACTGTGAAATTTAACAGTAGTCAATAGCCCGCAAAAGGCAGAGCAACTAAATCAGTTGCAGATTCAGATGGTAGCCACTGTTATTGAAGTTTGTTGGAAACATCTCAACTAGCCTAGTCCCTTTTCCCTGGCAAAAGTATTCGCACATGCCCTCCTCCAGGATGAACTCCTTGCCATTGCATACCTGCAAATAATGGTTTGTTCTTCTTTCGTCTACACCTTTTACATGCGGTAAAATATATTTCCTTACCTTTTTCCCTGACTTCCCAGGATCTCCCTGCATGCCTCTCTCTCCTGGGAGTCCTGATAGACCTATATCTCCCTTAAAGAAGAATAAATAATTATATCTGCATACTTCAATAAATTCTTTATTCTGTAAAATGGATCTAACAGTGTGTTAAAAAATTAATTAATGATATACAATATTTTTGCTCAAATAAAGGTTGTTTTTCCCAGGAAGTTAATATTCTACAGAACCAGTAATTTTTTCTACTGATACAATCTAAAAGAAGTATTTTAGATTTCTTTCAAAGCTCCCCATCTACTTCTTAAATCTTGCTTTTGTATTAAATTAATTTACATTTATTCAGTGAGTAAAAACATGATTGAACACTGTTTGTTATTCTGTGCACAAGAACAATATGATACGAATGTAATTTACTTGCAAAGTCAAACATCTGGGACTTAAGGAATGGTCAGCCAAAAATGCCTAAATGGAGTTGTTGACTACAGACTAACACCTCGCTGATTGTACAAACTGGTCTAGACATTACTTTTAAGACTTGCCACAAAGAGTTGAAACTATCCATAGGAACTAGTCTTGCCAAGTGCTTCTTCCATGATCCTGGGAAAAATCACCAAAACCAAGATGTCTATGTCATCTTACCCAAGATTTTGGAAGCCCTACTTAAATCATTAACGACATGGTATACAGTCTTCAAAATGGCAGCTGAAGTCAAAGCTTTAAGTGTTTAGCAACTCTTCTAACATGTAGGCAGTTTGACTGCTGCTGTCACACTGACTGGGTTTTTTTTTCAAATCATTGCAGAGGAACAGAGGTGGTAACGTTTCTAACAGGCCTTGGGAATACCTCACTAGCTTAGAAAAGATGGGGGAAAAGTCCGTTCCAGTTATGGCTGCAGTAATGATTTTAGGAGAGAGGCTGGGAGCTCTAGTGCACCATTTTGAGTTTAAAAGCTAAAACTGTGAAGTTAAGTGAATAACTGTCACTGAAATTCCTTCTTATTTTGATCATAGTCAATTTATACCAAAAAATCTTCTACTTAGTTTATCAGCGACTAGTGAAAGAATTAGAAGACCCTGTAAGGAGCAGTTAAAAATAAAAACAGGCTCACTTTAAGTCCTCGTACACCAATTCCTGGAAGCCCTGGTTCTCCTTTTTGTCCAGGTTCACCTGGTTGACCCTAGTAACAAAAAGTGTTTTGTTTAACAGAGGAACACAGTTTAGCTTCATTCATTACTTGCACTATTTCACTAACTGCTTTACACATAGAAGTGGACTTGATCCTATGGGTCCCTTCCAACTTGAGATATTCTATGATTCTAAGTGGTCAAGTTTTCAGCCAAGCAGTTTTCAGCTGGAAAATTCTGTTCTTTAAAATCCCCAGTAACTTGTAGGACTGCATCTATTTTATTTAACCTCGCAGTGGGCAGAAAGTCTAATTGAATCATTCCAACTTTCTCCTTTTTGTTTCAATACATTTTATTTTTTACTTTATAGTTTTTTCAAAAACTCTTTGGTCACTGAATGAAAAGTGAATCCAAATAAATAAAAATCAGAACTTCTGTTTAAGAGAAAGTTTTACCCTCACAATTCTTCCTTCCAGTAGTTCTAAAACAGCTAAAGAAAAAGGAATTCCATTTTTCAATTTTGCTTTTAAAATACTTTTTCACACTAGAAAAATTGTCCTCATACATAACATGTTTCATAGCTACTTATTTTTCCCTATATTAATATTAAACATTGCTGCTGTAACTGCTACTTCCAAGCCAAAGTAATGCCCAGAAGAAAATGACTGTATTTCTCCCTGCTTTTGCTACAGTGACTAATGTCTTCCTTTTGTAAATCAAGGTGATTACAAAGCACACTTCTGCTTTACAGTTCATTCCACTTGCTTTCCTTAGTATTTCAGCAATTCCCTTTTTCTCCTCTTACAGTGCTCACCTGACACTGTATCGCTAGAGGCTTGAGCTTTGACAACAGTAATTGTTTACCCTCTCTTCCTACTTTCCCTCCTTCTGTGGTGCAGTGTCAGCTACTAAGTACATTTAAGCTTTTTTTTCTCTCCTAGTGTTTCTATCTTTTGCTTTGGCTCTTTCTCATGATGACCATGGAAGGCTGAAGGACAGGCTGAAGGCGTGGTGGGACTAGCCTTAAGTCTCAAAACCATCGCTCGTTTACAGCTGTTTGGTATAATGCTTTACTTGAACACAATGTGTATGTGGAACCAAACTCATTTGATATAAACACGTCTGAAAGATACTTTGTTTATAAATTTGTGTTCACTTAGAACCTAAAATCCACATTCGCAAAGGTTAAGGGCTGACGCTAAGCAGAAGCCATATGCTCCATTTGTGGAACACCTTGATAACATGGGTGGTTTTCCCTCAGAGATTCGAAAGCGAATTATCATCTCCAATGAAGAGTTACATTTTCATCTCATCAAACACACTCTTGAAAAGCCTGGCAAAGATATGTTGCTTGTTGTTTCTTGCTATTGCTATTTTTAAAAAATAACATCTGAATCATTACCTTTGGACCTGACAGACCAAAACCTTTAGATCCTTTTGCCCCAGGGTTTCCTTGTGGACCCTGTATACCCTACAAAGCAAAATAAATGAGTTAGTGCATTACACTCTTCCACATCTGAAATTCACCACATGTCCATCTTTCAGTTAATCATGATTTTATCTTATCTTTAAAAAAAACAATTTGCTTGCCTGTCCTCAGGCTTAGTTCCGAGATCTCTATTTTATTTTTCCTTTGTCTCTATCCTGTGGATTTCACTGACATATCCAAGTGTAATGACAATTACTGTTCAGGGAGAAAACAAATGGGAAGTGTCTCAGTATCTGTATCTCAGTCCTGATTCATTGGGATAGTATGGTGGAAGCATGAACTCTTATCTTCTTTCCAAAAAAACAAAACCCAAAAGAACTTTTTGGATGTTTCAGTTTTTCTGTATCCAACTGTTAAAGGCTATGTTCAAGCTTCAAATGGCTTGAAATTCAGAAGTGGTGGATTCTTACCTTGTGAAATTCTTAGCTATAATATGTCATCATCCAAGCAATGCATCTGATTTATCTCCTATGCAAATTATTATGCAGATTAGACCAAATTGCTGTTTGCTTGATTCTAAGACCATTCAAATCAGTTGGAATCACTTATATTTACAGGCTTTACCTAAAGACTAGTTTGATACTTTTTAAAATGAAAAATCACTGTGAGATTCTTAATGTCTTCACATCAAAATTAGAGCTCTGATGAAAGTATAAAACAAAAACTACATGTGAATGCTTGTTATATGCCCAAAATGTAGACTTACCTGGCTTCCTGGATTGCCTATTCCTGGTGGTCCTGCTGGGCCCTGTGGTCCTACTTGGCCTTGTTCACCCTATGCAAAAAGTATTCCCAAGAGGTAAATTGCAATAGTCCATGCTAGGTGATTAACGTATTTAAACTAAACACAGAGCAACAGTACCCAAGCTGTATTATCTTGAAGTTTGCTGCTTCTATTTCAGTTAAATGTGTTTGGAATACCTGAAAGTCTACCTATGGCAATTGATCTAATAAAAATAATACCCCTTCCTACAAACTCTCTCATTTATAACATTAGAAGATCACAGCTGTAACTTTATTATTAGAAGGATCCATAGCTTATCTTTACATACTGAGATTAATTTTAAAGATTTTCTTGTACAGAAATACACACAGTTTCTTGCACAACACTCAGAAGAAAAACTTTCAAGTGTAAACAGAGCAGCTAGAGAGTATTTTTGAAAAATCTTTGTCACATGGTATTACAACGGTATCGTACAGCACTTGGGGGGGAAATAGAGGAATTATGGCAGAGGGAATTATGGGAACAGAGGAATATGAGGAGGTCATGTGGGTATTGGAAGTGGCACAGACCCATGAAGGTGTCAAGGATGTGTGACACCAGTCCCTAGAAAACAAAAAATAATTAGTTTCACTTATGCCAGAAACACTTATTTACTGAAATGGTCCCAAATGCTTACTGTCCTGGCCATCGCTGCATTTTTTCTATACAGACATGGGAATAAGATGACTCATTCCTGCACAGATAACCAATCTTCCTCTAACTAAGGCCTCGAGCAAGATAGTCTGGCAGGTGCTCACCAAGCATATCTCTCACAGACAGGCCAAATCAGACCACCCCTTCCCACCTAGGTTGCTCTGAAGATTTTGGAGAGCCATTTGACTGGACAGTGAGATGAGTAAGTTCAAGTTAAACCTCCCGCATCCGTGAAGCACTCCCTGCTGACTAAGCTGTCAACGACCTTGGATGGGAGTGCTGTCTCCTCTCACTGAAGCTGTGTGGGGCGACGAGGAGAGCAGGAGTTGTAGGGACAGGAAGGAAGGAAAACAACAGGGAGTAGGAGGAGGGCTATGGCACTAAATCATGAGAAGGAAGACCTGGAATCACTGCCTCTGCTCTATAGGACATCTGGGCATGTTGCATCAGCCACTCTCTGTGGATGCACAAGATACAGGCTGGAATCTCATCAGGCCAAGGGAATTAAAATTGTTCTGGATCCCTCTTTGGGGGACTGGGCACCAAAAAGCTAACAAATTTCAAAAGACAGAGTGTTCCTTGGCCTGTTCCAAGTCCATTAGATTAGATGACTCAAAGGGTTTTTTACATTTTAAAAATATTTAAATAAAATTTAAAATATTTTAAATACAGTATTTCTGAAAAAAAATTAGGAGGAAAAAAGTCCATTTCTTCCCTCCTACTCCCAGCTGCATAGAATACAGTCCTTAGTGCTCTCAGTTAACATTAACAGGCTCAGCTACTTGTACAGATGAGTGCAGCCTATGGAGCTGCATGGAACAGTGTAGCATAGTTCCTCAGGTTCCAGGTAAAACATACCTTTGTATTGTTGTGATATTGTGTGAATAATTCATCATTAATTTAACTATAAATATAATTAACTATAGATACTATTAGTAAAGTTGTGCCTCACCTTGTCTCCTTTGATTTGTTGACCTGGCAGTCCAGGAGGACCAGCTACACCTTTAGAGCCTTTTTCACCCTAGAAATATGTGACAGTTTTGTAACTGTATTTGGGAATTTATGAAGAACACCATCCTAGACAAACTGGTCATCACAATGTGGATAATGAGGAAAAAAGTATTCCTTCACAAACAAACAAGAAAAATAGCCAATGGAATTATCAGTTTTAGAGAAAAGCGATTAAATTACAATTCATAACATGCTTCATCTGCATTCGTTGTGTTGTTGAACACAGGACTCCAAAAGGAGAAAATTAAATACTACGAAGAAGGAAGCTAAATTTTGAAAATGCCATAGTATGTTCATTAGTCAGAGAGAGCAGTTCAGAACCTGGTGCAAGGACACAACTAACATCTTTTCCATAAAAGGAAGAAAAATCTTCTTTGCTTAGTAGTTCAAGGCTCTAGAGGATCTTGAAGCCACTAAAAAAGAGGGATACATTTCGATGGGAAGCCCAGTTGTGATTTAATCATAAATCTTTGCTTGTTTGTGCTCATTTTTAAAAAAATGAATATTCACATATATTAACCTAGCAAGTGCCCTTAATGAGGTTACTGTCCACAGAGACCCATACAACCCATCTTTTAGTTTCCCAAAATGGTAAGACAGAATGGAAACAGTCCGTGAATGTTTTCTTCCAATACAGAACATAAATAGCTAAGTAGTCTTTCAGAAGACAATTTATCTCATTAATGCTACCAAAATAAGGTATCTTATTAAACACATAAATAAGAGAATCATTAACTGACTACTGTTAGAGGAACTGTACAATTTTTGTGTAATTATCTTGATAGAGTTTCTGAACTCGGAGGGATATTCAGAGAGCACAGTGGTTCAGAAGACCAAGATCCATCAGCTGATATTTTATACCAGTGGAATGATCAGTGATCTTAAATAATTTAGACACAAATTTGGCCCACAATGTTAAAAAAAATAATTTCCATAAAACTACCTTTTGGCCTTGAATGCCCTCTCCTGGTAGACCTTTCTCACCTGGCAGACCATCAGGGCCACGTGGTCCCTGGAAGAAAAGAAAAATATATTCAGACTATATCAGCAATTCCATTTTCTATTGACATTTTGTCTAACTCGCTAGTATAGGTTCTTGCAACTCTTATGACACTGGTAAGTAAAAATGCTTCCCTAACAGCTGGCTGAGTCCAGGCAATTAAAATGAAGTGTGGCAACCCTTAATTGGAGGATTTAGATTAGAATGAGCTAATGCTGAAATGGCGTGAATTACATAATTGGTGTCTAAAGATTGTACCCTTAAAACTCAAATGAACCTGTAGATTAATTTATAATAAATACATTTACCACTGTGAAATTTATTCCCTATAATTTCATATAATTTCATGATTTTCATAATGAAAATCATTAATTTGAACATAGGTTTTTTCATACAAAATGGCAGGTTAAACATACAAAATTAGAGAATGCCATTTTTGTGTTAAACAAGTACAGAAATAATTATTTTTGTAATACTTTCTGTTCTTCCACAAAATTCAGGTGTCTCATTATTTAAAGCTAATAACGAGTTTTTAAGGATGATCTTGATTAAGCAAAAAGTTTCTACATTTTTTGTGAGAAAAATAGTCTTTTACAACCACAAAATTACTTTCAAAAATACTGTTAGAATGAAACTAACACTGTGCAAGTGTGTAGGTCACATTTGTGGCTTCTTATTTGACAATCTCTTTGAGATTTTTAATGAAATACACAAGAAAACCATACATTTTATACATTTCAGGAAGAAAAAGCAGCCAGTGAGCTCTAACTCAACATTACAAAAAGCTTGCTAAAGTTCTGTAATTCAGAAGACAAAGGTATAATTAAAAGCATATAATCTGGCTCTTTGTTTTTGATGCAATTTAAATTATGCACAGGAGTTGAGGAATGTCTCAGCTCTTGGATTTTCAACTTCTTCGAATTTGTTTTTAGACAATTTTTAAAGATTATCCTCAACTCAAACAAGTAGGGGTACAGCTATTTATATACAACTCCATGTCTTTCTGAAAACTGGATACTGCAATCCTGTTCACGTGGACCAAGTAAATATTTATTTCCCCAAAACTTGTTTGGACATGGCTTTATTCTCCTATTTGGGCAAGCCACGTGCAATTACTGCCGCAATACAAGGCTGGCATAGCCGAACACACTTTTGCTGCTCAAGACTAGGTACCAGGTGGTTTATGGAATCAGTAGCCAATATAGCTGCTGTCAATCAATTGCACTCACTAAGACTTATTTTATTATATTTCCACTTCCAATGCATATATCACTGACTTACAGGTAATCCTGGCTCACCAATTCCAGGAGGTCCTGGGAATCCAATTTTACCTTCTTGACCTTGAGCACCCTTGTGAAAAAGAATATTAGAAAGTTCAGTCCTAATTCAACTCAATGCTTTTGAAAAGCATAACATTTACATATAGATGATTTAATGATGTCGCCAGAAAGGTCTGAAATCGAATGTGTAACATTTCCTGATGTAAAAAAAGCATAAATAACAATTTAGAAACATTTGAAAGTACCTTTTGATTAATACTTTAAGCACTAGATCACATTCCAGCCCTCATGCCAACAGCAAAGGGGTGTTATCACTTTGCATAAGGGTAACTGCTTAAAAGTGCAGGACATGAGAAATGACAAGGAAGAGGGAGCGAAGTCAGGCTAAATTTGGTTGGAGTACAACCCAACCATGAAGCAGGAA